TGTTGGTAAAAAATGTTCCAAAGTAAAAATTGCTGGCCACTAAAGTCACTATCCTGTTGGTGAACTCAAATTCTCAAATGAAAGCTTAGTCCACATTTTCTTGATTTATCAATGGGTTCGAAAAGAATTGTAGGTGACTTAGTCTGACCCTGTGGTGAGCAACGATATACGGCCAAACCGCTCAGTTCCCATGTGTTTTCTTTCTCAGTTTCCTGATTTCCCGACATGTTGCTAAAATATGCTAAAAAGTCACATCCGTTCCCATCCAAAATATGAAAGAAAATTCTGACATGTTGGATGCTCACCTTCCAAAAAAGCTACAAATTCCACCATTTCCATCATCTCAATCTATCATGTGATTGGGAATTTAATTGTAGCTCCAGAAACATATGGACTATATCTGGAGGTTGCCGAAAATGGGGGTTCCCGCAAATCATCCCCAAATTAGATCATTTTCGGAAGTTTAGCCTTGAAACATCTATTGAAACAGATGGCTTTGGGGATCCATTTAAAGAACCCCCCATATTCCCCATATCGATACCTATCCAGATGGCAACCCCCAGCCCACGCTTCGCCACGGCTACGTCTGCCATGTTGGAGCGTACGATCCAGCTGTTGCCCGTCTCCAACATGATCCTGTCCAAGTACGATGACCATTGTTTGGTGGCTTGCAACCATGAAGCTGACTCTAGCAGCAAAATAGTTATGTAAGTTATTTAGCAGCAACACCTAGTTAAGCATGAAACTATTTTGTGACTCTAGACAAAACCTAGGTACCTGACATTAGCAGCAAACATGTAGAGACTAAGACAAAACAACTAAAAATAAATTAAATGGTCTTGATGTGCTAAAGCACTACGCCTAAAAAATTGTGACTTTGGGGATGGTTTATGACATTGGATGAATGGTTCACCTTGGTACTCGGGTCCCTCTGCAAGATCCATTTCGATGGCAAATGATGAATTAAATGACTTGTAATTTATAATCTATGAGCGTACATTAGATATACGTATATAAATCAGCTATCAATCGAAGGTTGACACTACAAGTTACAAGTCCCTATCATCATTTTACGGAGCGCGCACCCCTTTTACACAGGAATGTGTGGGTAGAAACCACAGAATCCCCTCTCAAGTTGACTGGGCAGTCAGAAAAAAGGTATGTAAGTATGTAGCATACGTTTCAGCCACAAAATAGTTATGCAAGTCATGTAGCAAAACAGAATATAGACCAAAGTCATGAGCAAACAGGTCGCAAAGGAAAGTTCTGTAGCCGACAGTTCAAACAGATTTCAGACAGCTGCAGGCTCTTGAGGCATGCTAGAGATATGCAGCAAACCTTGGAGAGGCAAATCTATGTGTGCCCTTCTCAAGTTACTTGGGTAAGTTGCCCATAGTTACCATAGTTGTTGGGCGATGGTCATCAATCCATCTATTTGTGGGATTTACCCCACTTGAAGCAAACAAATTAAATAGACTTTGATGGTTTCGGCCCACCATGAATGTAGATCACTTTAAATGTGCCCCATGGGTTTTCCGCATCTTTTTACTGTTTGCCTCAGGGTATGAATTATACCCATGGCCAAATCATATAACAGTAAGGATGTCATGTCACAGGATGACAATACCATTTAGGGCCTCTTTACTACTCTATGGGATCCAAGAATAACATCAAATCAGCTGAAATGTCAAAAAATAACCTCAACATTGGGCCAAGAACATGACTCAAAAACAACGTCCTTTTCATTGAACCCTGTATATTGTGTTGGTGCCATATTTGTTCAAACTTCAACCATAATAACCATAAAGCCACAATCATGGGGCCCCCATGGCATACAAGAAGCATGACTCTTGAAAGCATGCCTCTGCTGGGGGGCCACATGAAGAAGTGATATTCCCCAACAAAATGTGACACGCAATGAACCCATTTAAATTAAACTCACTGTTCACCCAGGTTTCCTAAGCTTTGGGACGTCAGGTACACTTGTATAATCTTATGTACCCCTCTGGTAATCAAATTATGGCTTGCCAAAAATAAACAAAAAATGACTTGCAAAAAAAAACAACAAAATGCATGTTCATCAATTCATCATATATGTTCCCATTTTTTCGAGTTCGTTCCAGGGCTCGTTCCTGGAATGGCTTTGCCATGGCTTAAGCTGACGACCACCCCCCCGGATCGCTCCAGGATCCCATTCCATACCACAAACAGGCGATAATGTGGTTCACTAAGAGCATCATGATGAGGCCCATCACCACCTGCACTCCGGCACCAGCTTCGGAATCTTCGGAAGGAGATGGAACGATGTTTGCAAGAAAACACGCAACAGCACATGGAGAAACATCATGAAACATCCAAAAAACTATTTTGGACTTAGAAGAACTTGAGATGCCAAGTCCGAAGCTGAAAATCTGCAGCTTGGGCTGGGGGTTGGTGGTAGAATCAGGTCCTCTGTGATTCCAAGTCCAAGAATATGCCGGTAGGAAAATACCCTGGCAATGGAAAAACACCTTTGGGACAATATCTACACATGAATAGATTGTAGTAAACCCCAAAAAACATGTTCATAGAAGTGTTTCCAAGATGCTACTTCGATGCTTTGTACCTCATCTATTTGAGCAGTTTCCAACTTTTCGGCATTTTGGGGGGCCCAAGACCCCCACCTTTGCCACCATGAAGACATGAACCGACAGAAAACGGTTGGCCAGGAGAGTCAACTCCTCCGCAAGGACATCCGCGAAATCCACAGAATCATCAGATTTCCCATCTCATTGTTCCTGGGTTTTTCTAATATATGGTTAATATATGGTTAATATTGGTTAATATATGGATGGACATCTCAGAGGTAGTCCTCACTGGCTCACGGCATGATTGCCTGACATGAGATATCATGATTCTTGCGAGGTTGTCTGTGATTTGCGAGAAGTGAGCCACGCCAAAGGCCTCTTGACAATACTCCTGTGGATCAACCCTCATTGATCAACCCATCAACCCAGCAATCCATATTGTTGATAGTTAAGAAATAAAACATAAAAATCACCATCTAATAAATTGATGGTTAAGTTCCATCAAAATCCCATGGAAATCCCATGACATCCCCTCCTGCTGAAGCTTCACAGCACGAAGCAACCGCAGCAGCCGCAGCAAACGCATCTGCCAGGGCCGCTCTTTTGTGGCATTTTCAACGGAAAGTGAGGGGCATAACCGGCATAACCCCACCAGAAATGGATAGAAATGGTGATTTCATTGGATATTTCATGATGATGTTTTGGCGACAGAAAACCTACTTGGGGGTGCAGTTGAGGTGGATATAAGATGATGATTTTGGCATGGTTATAAAATGTTATAAACCCCCCCTAAGTTCGGATATAGGGCCCGTAAGCATGGTGAAATCTATGCATTTATAACCGGAACTGCACTTCCAACTACCTAGTCATTCTACCATATAGTTTGGTTTTAATGCGATTTAATGGGATTTAATTGGATTTAATACGATTTGATGGGATTTAATGGGATGTATATAATGGGATTAAATTTAGTGGGGTCCCAGTCTGGAATCGCCAAGTCAGTTTCTAAGTAGGCTATATAACTGTTGGGTTTATGGTGTAACTAACTGTTGGTGGGTTGACAGACAAACATAGCATTTTTTTGGGCACCACGAGTTACTTTGGTGAAGAATACATACATTTATAATATGTGTATAAATATATATAATATATTTGAAGGATATGATAGGCCATAACCCATAGTTTTGACGAAGGATATACATATACCAACTTGGATTTGCTGCCTACTAAGACACTCAATGTATCCATAAAAAAGATGCCAAAAGCACTGATATTATGTGGTATACTACAGCACCCATGTTTAGGGTGACACGTATTTCCGCGACCCTCGGGGCGTTGTGATTCTTGTTATCATGCTACATGGGTGGGGTGGCATACGGGATGGAAGACATGCAGCTGAAACTGTTTGTCGTCAAATGATCCAAACTGTCCAAACACATCATTCATGAACTAGCGAAAGGTGATGGGTTTCCGTACATTGTTAGGTAAAAAAAAATGGCAGGGTTGTGAAAACAAGTGTTACCATGTAAACATGGGTCAACAGAGAGTCGACAGGTAGTTATTACTTAATATGGCTGGTTTATGAGAAAGCCAACCATTAGTGGGGGATGATTTGGGATCCGATATGATGTCGTATGATATAATTTGGGATACCGTATGTTCCCATGTTGATTTGATATCTGGGTCCATGGAAACAAGCCCAGCAGTTTAAATCTAGAGTTTCTATGAAAAACTTCACGTTGAACTTGGTCGGGGTAGTTATGTGTATACAAATATATACATATTATGTACATATAGGAAGGACCAATATTTTTTTTTGGTGTATCTCAGATATGACTGGAAATTGTGTTCTTTTCTGCTTGATTATTTAATGTTTGAAATTGTTCAACTAGACCATATATCTAAGGAATCTAAGGCATAAAACCAGGCAATAACTACATTATCCACATGGACCTGTGTTCGTCATGAAATCCCAAAGAAAATCTCTGAAGTGATGGTCATCCTCTCACCATGGCCATGGGAACTGGATGAAGTGCTACAAAACTTCACGTATATCAATGGGAGGCTCGTGATCTACTTAAGCCATCTGGCTTTGTCTGAAAATCAGGGTACCCAGGTGTCACCAGGGTACCCCAAAATCCCATGGGTTAATAGATACCTCATGATACCCATTAAAAAGACCATAGGGGTTCACGCCCACGATGAGACAAACCCAAAATCCTATTTTTGCCGTTAAATAACCAAAATCCCCCCATGTTCCATCATTCAGCCAAATAAAAATCTCTATGTGTGGTGGGTAGGTGCCATAAAACCAGTATTCTTCACCGTTTAATGCAGTGTTTGTATGTGTTTGTATGTGTTAAAATGTCCATTCTGGTTGGTGCATCCACCATTCAACATTTCGGGCCGCGAGCCGTGCGGAGGAAGCGAGCAGAGCGAAAGCCGTCGCTGGTTTCCTGGTGCACTTGGGATTCCGGGGGGATTCAATGGGGATTTCATGTGGGTTTAACTGTTTAACTAATGGACATCAATGGGGATATTCCAAAAATGGTGGTACCCCCAGTTCTCACCCATTTTTGGGACTGGGATTTTCCATGAAATCAACCATGCGTTGATGGGAGTCCCCCACAACTAGCATCAACTAGCCACAATTGTGGCAACTTCGCTGCCTCCCCGAAGAATTCCACCATCAGCAGTGCCACGTCAATGGAAACCACCGCAAGGTCCAAGAAGAAGTAGGAACCTTTTGCCAATCCAATGGTGACCATCAAAAATATGGGCCATTTTTTGCCCAATGTCACCCATTTTGGGTCAAAAAAAATTGGGGACTGATCAAAACCTACCCCAAAAAAAAAAATCCCGAAGTCAGACTGGTTGATGTTCACTTTTGAACTAGCCCGTGAAGATATCAGGTTTTTGATCAGCCCACTGGGATCCATAACCATGTCACTGGCTCAGAGTCCTAAAGTTTGATGAAAACATGATCTGAAAGGAAAGCGGTTCTAAATTGCTTGGGGTCAAACTCCTATGGAATCCTTTGATCATTTTCCGAACGATCTTCAAACCTCCAGAGTTTCAGAGTTCAATGAGTTCAATCCAAGATTTCCATGGAATCCAAGACTCCTAGGGTTTGTTTTTCCATGTTTTTCCCATCCAAATCCATGAAATCAACAGATCTCTCAACTCACATTGATCCGAGGTGCGGAAATAGATCCTCGCCAAGGGCAGGATGCGCATCTCCGTCTTCCCCTGTGTTTCAACGCCAAAGAACAGGTTCATCGGCCTCAGAATGCTGGAAGTTGCTGCCTTCAACTGGGAAGTTGGAACAAAGAATGACCTGAATGGACCTTGGTCATCGTTGAAGGATGGTTTATGATGGATGACAAAGGGCAAAATTGCTTAACTGATGTTAAGTGAGAATGGTTTCGTAGTTATGCTGTAGCACCATGGCAATTCAAAAGAAATCTGGAGAAGTTGACGACGGTTTGTCGTCGACAAGGGTTTCTCTGCTTGCTTGGTGCACGGTTGGCGCACCGCTCGGGCCGCAAGGATGTCTTGTGATGGTAATGAATAATCATTATTTAAAAAGAGATATGTTAAGACATATGGTTGGATACTAAAATATTAACAATAATGTCTGACATAATGTTTGTCAAATGTTATGATTTATCATTATAAGACATTATTGTATTGTCATTGGTATAATGGTTGTGCAATAATAGTGAATAAGTCTGATGAGATTATCATGATTAATCATTCTTAACTTGTTTCATGAGCTATTCTTGACCATTATTGACCATTAGCAACTATACTATCAACCATTATTAATCATTCTTAACTATCATTAATCATTATTAATCACGAATGATCACCAACATATGTCCATCCTCAAGGTGGCTCCAAAAAACCAGGCCCACTTTGGCCCTTTTCCTGAGACAACCAGATCGCAACGCTCCAAGCGTCATATCGAGCATCCAAAATCCCATGGTTATCCTCGGTGAGGAGTCCAAAAACGGTTTAGATATGTTTACCGGTAGATTAGGCTTGAGTCATGGAGTCCATGGCTTTGGTGTCCCGAATCCGGAGACTTGGAGTCACTTGGAGTGGATTCCTCTCATATCTTAACAGTCTTAACAGCAACAACGTCAACCCTAACCCCCCCAACCTTCAAACACCTGCTTTGTTGATCCCCTAAAAATTGACAACCTTTTAAGTTGGACACTCGAGGTGTTTCCCCATCTGTCACCGGACAACTAGAAATCTAGTTGTGAGAAGTTGTGAGTGGCCTGCCCGAAAAGGCGACGAACATCCAGTTGCGCAACATAGTTCATGATAAAAAGAACGTGACATACGAGTACCTTTTGGTACTCTCACGTCGCTACCGGTATTTGAAATTACCATGTCAATAGGAAATCGTTTTTTTATAAGTGGGCCGTTTTCCATAGCTCTGTAACAAACTACCAGAGGGGAACCATCAACTTCCCATTTTTCCTGTAATATTCCATGAATATTCCCAGCCCACCCAAAAAATGGCCACCTCGGCCATGGCTCCGACCCATGACGGTGAAGATACCAACTTGGTCCGAAAGCTGGAAAAACTCCAGGGGGATGGTGATCAAGTCCTCTAGTGATGGCGGGGATTTTTTGGACCCCAGGGACCCCAAAAAACCCCAAAAAAACCCAGGGATCTGCCCAAAGGCCATATTTCGGAAAAATCTGGGTGCATCATTTCACTGGCCATCTCAGGAACCTAAATTGGAGGTACCTACCATATATAAGGCCTTTTTTTAAGGCCTATGTAAGTGAATATCCCAGCATCATTGTTTTTTTCAAGTTTCTTTCCCCCTTTTTTTTCGCAGACAAACATCAGATGGCCAAGATGACCATCGGCTCACCGGCTCACGCACTTCGGAGTCCACCGAGTTGAGCAAAGCCCATGAAGAGAGTGATGTTTTTGGTGGGTAAAGCCGGTACAGCCATAGATTTGACCATCACCATCAGCCATAAACTCATAAACCATCCCCAAAATCACCATCAATGGGTGTTATGAACCATGAGAATATGGGTGGCTTCTTATTGCTTTACTAATATTTTGCTTTGCATTTCTCTGATGATTTGTAGGTACAGTGATTTGTACCCAACCATTGACTATTATTTTCCCAGAGTAATACCGTAACCCTCCCCACGTTCAAAAACAAACGATGTGCAGAACAGACATCTGAGATTCATCTGATACCCTGCAAAATCTCCGACACAACGCCAGCCCAGTGACATATGGAATAGCCCAGCTAGATTAATGTCATACCAGTATGCCCCAGTTAGATTTTGCATGGCTCACAAACTTAAAAAAATAAAAAACAGTTTCATTGTTGGTGATTTTTTGAAGGTCCACCGGCATTTCTCTATGGTTTATAACCCATGGCTTCCCACATGTTTCCCACATTTTTGTGCCCCCGGTCCCATAGGATGAAGAGAGATCCCAGCAAGGTCCACAACATCTGCGGCTTGCTGCGTGGCGGCAGGACCAAGCGCCCCAGGCAGGTGTCTTCCCAGAGGTACTCGTTCCTGGCCAGGGGCGATTTACATGGGGATGGGTCAAAACCCTGGTACCTAGTGAACCCCAAGTCATAGCTGGGATTTATGGATGTTCATCCCACTAAAAATGTATCTATAGGTATTGACCCATACCCATATATATATATACATATAAATGTGTATTATTTTGTATCTGTGTATATACAGTACATATTGTTTGTGTTTGTGTACGGATGTATGTATAGTGTATATGTATATATACAATTATATACACAGTATGATTATGTGTGTGCGCCATGTAAGTATACATGCATATTCTATATACATACATCAAAAAAACACTGTTGATACCTATGTAGATACATCATTAAAGATCTATGATGAAAGTTGGATTCCCGGGCCAAATTTCGCCAAAGCCGCAGAGAAACCTTGTGGAGTTTAGCACGCGACTATCAATGTTGAAATGGAACATGTATACGTCTGTGTGCAGTGTAACTTTTCGTGTTCTTGACATCATGAAGTTAATGTCCCAAGGATTCCAAAGGCCCAAGCTTACTAAGTAATTGATCAATTGGCAGTGTGTCAAAACCTGGTACCCCTTCGGTGAACATCAAAATAGCTGGGATTTATGGATGTTCATTCCCCTAAAAATGGTATTAATAGGTATTGATCCATAGCCAATTGAGTTCATACAATCCTTCCACCAGAAAACCGAGGCCCATAGGTGGCCCATAGGTGACTTGCATGACTTGGATGTGTTGCCATCGCCGGGTACTTGGATCCACCGGACATGAAGTTTTGGTCGGAAAAAATGTCGTCTTGGCCTCTTGGCTATAGAAAAAAGGAGAATCTCATCAATGGTTGGCTTCATCTCCCTATTTCTTGGCTTTACTGAATCACATCAAATCGGCATCTTTAGTGAATAAATCATGTTAAGTCCCCCATTTTGGCTGGTTAAATCCCTATTCTTGATGGTTCTATTTCTCGCCAGAAATGGCTCGAAGAAGCCACGAATTTCACCAACCAAAAATTGCCGAGAATCATCTTCAGGCTGTGGGTCTTACGCACAGAGCCCATCAGGTTGCGACTACGATGTGTCTTTGAGGCTTCCTGTGAGGAGAACTGGTTGCGACTTCTGCATGGACCAAAGGGATGAAAGTCCATAAATTCTAGTTTTTTGTTGTGATCGTTTGATGGGAAAAGCAATGGAATACCTAGGGTCTTGCCCCATCCCCGTGTTGGTTCCAAGGTTTCCAAGTTACCCACAGGCTTTGGTCGTGTCTTAGCATTGCCTCTCTTGTTTGAAGAAAAAGATTGGATATACCACTGATACATACTGATACTATCTTGGTCGGATTCAATATTTTTGCTACCAATCTATTTTTCTTGCTGGGATTTCCTAACCTCCATTTTCGACTTGATCCAGCCCAATTTTAGAATCAACATCCTGCGTTTTTTCCCGTGTAAACCCAATTTTGGGTGGAAAACACCAGGGGGTAAAATACCTTCACTTTCTAAATCCCATTACTGTATATATTGTCTATTTACGACACAACAGAACTTCTCATACGTATCATTCAAGTTCACCAAAATCAGACTCGGATCCTACTTGGAAGTGCATAACTTCGTGAACCATTCGTGGATTTCACCATATTAACAGAAAGGGGATGATATCCCTTTAGTCTTTCCCTTGGTTACACCCATTACATGATCTATTGGTTAATCCCCATGGTTCGTGGTAAAAAGATGCCCATGAAGAATCCCATAAAACTCACCCAATGGTTTTTCCCGGCCAACCCCAGGTTTTTTTCAACTCTCAGCGCAGCCTGCCATGAGATGTTCCATGCAGGTCGCAACTGCAGATCTTCCTGCGGATGGAGGTTTTAAGGTTTTGACAGCAATGAAATATTAATAGTAATGTTTGTAGTAATTATGATAGTAATATATTATATCAATAGCAATTATGATGATAGTAATTTTGGAATTATGATAGTAATCTGATATAATCTGATAATATAGTAATTATTGATAGTAATATACGAGTTTGTTGTTCTCTGGTGTTGTTTTTGCTTCCTGGATCTGGAGGATAGTGATCATCAAGAATAACGCTAGTAAATATAGAACTTTTTGTGTTGCTGTTTCCTGGATATTTTTGTTATTAGTTATGATAATTTAGTAGTGATGATAATCTTATGATATCTCATGATTATAGTCAATTATGGTAATCACGATTTAGAAAAATTAAAATAAATCTTATGACAGTAATATGATGATTTCACACATATGTGGTCAGTCGACCTTTCCTTATTGACTCACTGAAGCACAACATTCGGCAAGTTCCACATCCCCAACCAGAAAAAAAAAACGCGGTTTGAACAAATTGCAGGTGAACAAGCAATAGTATGATAGTAGTATTAATAATAATATAATAGTAATAGTAATATGATTTAATAGTAATATATAATATGATAGTAATAGTAATATGATATAATACGATTGTATGATAATCACTACTAAAATTTGACAGCAATATGATAAAACGGAACTCTAAATTCCTGCATCATTATGATAGTAATATGATTATAATATGATCATGTTCACCGTGATGGTTTCTACTGGATCATTATTTCTGGATGTTAAATTTCTATGATGCTATATTATATGGTTATCGTACTACTGCTATGTATCATTTCTGGAGAAAATGAGAATCAATGATCATGATAATAACTGTTGTCACTGTGATGATAGCAAATAATAGTTAGTAGTAAGATGTAGTAAGTATGATAATAACAGTGACTGATATGTGCCATGGTCAAAAGATAGTATATGGCTTCTAGTCCTCCCACCATTGTTGGCAATCCTATGAAGTGGTCAGTAGAATTCCCTATGGATCGATGACCATCCCACAATATGGATAATTAACAGGGAAATCTAATGCATTATCCATTGATGACAGGGAATTATGATATCATAGTGGATTATATATCCGATTTAATCCAGCTTTTTGACTGTGACCGTTCTGATACTAATGTAATTAACAGTGGTGATAATCATAATCATGCATCTTGGTGATAGAAACTGTTATCACGGTTGTCATTATGATGATCATGTGACAATGAAATTATTGATTGAGATACTAATGGTAAGAAAAATAATGAAAGTTAATAATGCTCATGGATGATCATGGATCAGAATAATAATCCCTAATGGTTCATAATACTGGCTAATTATGATGATAACAAAAGATAAATAATTGATCCTAAATCTGAACACATGGAACCCAAACACAAAATGCCGATGTCCCTGTCAAAAAGTAAAATCGTCTTTGGAAGCTGAATGCTCCGGGGCTGCATGGTAAATTTACGGGGTATTACGGTATAAGGAGAACTGCGAGAGAAATGATGAAACCACCATATCTGGTGATATTTTGAACCCTTCGGAGGTGATCTTCGATAACATCCCCCTTTCTTCCCGTCGCATGTGTTGCTTAGGAAAATCCCCATTGTTTCCTGGATATCTCATGGCTTCTTCCTTGCAACATGTTTTCCATAAAATTCCAATCTCACCTTGCTCAAGTCAACTCAACTCTTCTATTCAGAATCACCCAAGAACCAAAACTAGACTTCGAAATTCCAAGTGTTTTCTAGGCTGCACCAACTCCATACCTAGTAAATCAGCTACAAATATGGGCTTGTCTGGAAATATGGTACCCTATGGTACCCTTCAATTTGATGGTCAATCATCATTTTTCCATTCACAATGGCCATTTTGCAGGTCTACCATGGCATTTTCAGACACAGCCGAGCATCATTAATTGTTGCGTATAGCAAAATCCCATTAAGCCCTCTAAAAATATCCCATATTAAGTGGCTGCTTTAACCCATGAATTCTACAAATTCTACAAATCAGATCCATTCCAAACCTTCGCTCCAGCATTGGTCCAGTCCGTCTCGGCCCGCCTCATCCACGAAACGGTCCTCTTCAAGCGCCAGCTGGGCCCGCTGGCTATCAGCCTGCGATGAACCCAACGAAAATCTGGTGTTTCTTAGGGACTTGAGAAATATGTGATAATATGTGTGTTGAATCATTGCATCATTAGATATAAAATGATATGAATACTATTACTGTGTACAATCATCAAAATGGTAACTTGCAAAATCTGTGCAGGTTTCCCCCTAATATTGAATACCCCCCAACTCGAAATTCTAGTTCAGTATTGGAGTTGGATATCCTGGAGATTGGGCCAGATCCTGGACCCAGTATGACCCAGTGAAGGGCTGGAGATCCATTTTCTTATGCAGTGAGAGTTGTTTTTTTCACTTGAGAGCAAACAAATAATCACAGAAAAACGGGAGAGAATCATCCGCGAAAGAAGATAAATCAATTCATAACAAACAGTTCCCAGTGCGGACGTTGAATAAACGTTTTTTGCCATGGCTCTCATGGGTCACCATTGTTTTTTCCCCGGAGCCTGGGAGCCTCCAAAACACGATCCGTTCCCACCGGGTTCCCACCGCACCTCACCATAGAGCAACCGCAAGGTGAACTTCTGCCATTGCATGCCTCAGAAGACCCTTACCCGGGGGATCCTGGTTGCCCCAAGCCAGACATCCGCGCAGAAAAAGTACGGTTGAGTGAACCTGCTTTGTTTGGTCATCTCCAAGCTATTTATTTGGGATAACATGTATGAATAAATAAATACATGTATATATATATATAATATGTGATTTAAATCATGAATTACAAGTTGTATAAGTATGTATAAGTTATTACATACATATAATATGACTATTTGGCATCGCGAAAGGGGGATATCATCTGACCTTGGTGAAGGTCACAGCAGTTTCAAGTTCCCAGAATTGGCCTCCGAAAAAAGAAGCTAGGGCGGCTCATGCCCACTTCTTTGCCGAAAATCCCACCGAGTTCGAAGTTTGGACATGGCACACTTGGCATAGCCACTCTCAAACTCCGTCTCACATTGTTGGTCGTCGAAAGTGGCTGTGTGGTATTCCATGGGAACCATCCTCAGGGCTGCTGCCAAAGTGCAAGATGAATATGATGTGAATATGTAGCCATAAAGGCTGACAGTGTTTTGTCAAATTGATATCTTTCTGGTTGTTTCTGATTCTATACAGTGAATTCATGTCTTAAAGCTATCCGTTGATTCATGGGAAACTTACAAAGTATATACTATATAATGCCAGGATTGCTCCCAATACCCCAGCTAACCTTGGGGGTGGTTTAATGGCTAGTTAAAGAGGTCATATGACCCATTTCCCCGCTGGTGGCTATAATTTACTTTTGGAGGTGAAGAAATTTGCAGGACGTGAAGTTGTTTGGTTGGCTCTGAGACCATCAATTCAGCTGGTTGCCTGGCTATGGGTCGAAACCCTGGTCCTTTTTTTCACACCAAAATAGATGATAAATAGATATTCATCCCCTCATGGCAATATAGGTCTTGACACATCGCCAATTAGACAATGACAATCCATTTTGACTTTGGCAAATACCATGGCAAATACCATGATCTTGAGTCAGAGAAGCACCTGTACCTCCCTCCACCTTTTTTTTTTAATACCCCCGATCTAGATCACCGAAAATAAATATATCATATCATGGATCCAATACTGAACCAGAGTTTCTCGGGCGGTATCTTTTTTGGGGGAAGAGATTCTGCGACGGCGGTTTGAAAGTTTGAAGACTGGAGGAATGATCAGCTGGGATTTACTGGGCCTACAGACATACTTCTACCTGGATGGTGCAACAAAAGCGTTGGCCTTTTATATGTGTGCCATCATTGCTGTATCCAGGATGTTACAGGTACAGACGGTACAGATTATATGTGCTTCATAGTTGCTTCATTTTTCAGGTTTCCCACGTTTCTATCTTTTTTGGCCCCTCCCTCATCTCCAAGAAACCGAATACCAACATCTTCATCATCTATGCTGCCTCGAGCATCAAGTCCTGGAAGGAGTGAAGGTTTACCCTCTGGTAAACATACAAAAAACTATAGAAAATCACCATTTTTCAGGGGTAGATCAACTATAAAAATGGCAATGTTCAATAGCAAACTGTTGGTTTACCAGAGGGCACCTCTGGACACACTGAAAATGGAACCAGAAAAAAGATGCCTTGGAATTCGAAGTCTCTGCCATAGCAATCTGTCGGGGTCCCCGCCTCGTGGGTCATCCTTAGCCAGGCAAAACGTGAGATCCACTTTTCGCGCCACTTCCAACCTTCATTCGGGCGGTGACGGGCGGTGAGCAAAAGATTTCAGCTAGATAAGGACCTCACAGCGATCCTACACATGTTCGCTATGATCAGTTGATCAATCCGTTTTCATGCGAATAAATGGGGTTAGATAGATGGTTACAGATGTATATGCCCCAATCACTATCAGTCGGATAATTACTACTCGTTGAACGCGACCATTTATGACCTAGAAACCAACCACAGGAACAAAGGACAGGACGGAAGCTGACGTGACCCACTGATACCCCGCTTGGCGGTAAGTACAGTGTACAGTATCTTATCTTCTCAGTTATAGCAAGATAGCCACCAACTATCAAAACTTAACCAGTCGATTTATAGGAAGATGGTTCTCTGCAGTTGTGACGAATCCGCAGTTCATCCGTTTTGTGGGTCCAAAGTTATTGTGACCCCGAAATTCACCAAAATAGCTAGCGCATATTCCAAGAGGCATAGAAAAAGGCATCAAAAATGTACATGCATTATATAGTTTTGCATATTCACATGTACAGTATAGGATTTACACACTTGTTTCCACATGTATGGATAGACAACTGTACATAAAAATATATACCTTTTGCTGGCTAAATTCTCATCATTTCCAGCGAGGTCCTGACATACTTCTGACATACCGCTGACATAGGTTGGCTGGGATTACCATGGTGATCATCATCCCCAATAAACCAGGCAGCTTAATAACAACACAGATTTATATGATAAAAACATAACCTGTGCTCAACTGGGCCAACTAGTCACTGCTCATGTGAGCTTGTCTGAGGCACCAACATTTGATCATGAATCCGTCATCATTTTCGGGGCTATACTGTCCCATGTTAACATCCCCATGATAATATATCCCCCATTGTGGCTTGCCCCATCTTTACTGGTTGAATCCCTGTGCTGGATCAATCCCTCCTGTTGATACCACTAACGTTCCTTTGCACGAAACAATCGATATAAAACTGGTCAAACCCCGATCAGTACCCTTCTGCTCACATCACAGTCTCACATTTTCTGGAAGATCAGAGGTTTTGAGCCCTTACCACATCTGGGTTTCAACATAATGAACTATACCCAAGAACAATATGGCCAAGTATATCCATGTATATCCCTATATATATATATATATTCCATTATATTCCACTATTGGTCGGTCCAGTCACCTTTGTATTACCTACAGGTGCGAATGGGAATATCCATTTAATCCTGATTGGTTTCCTTAACAGGATTAACATAGGATTACCTAGTTCATGGATTATGGTCATCCCGAGTCATCCCCAACAAAAATAACTGCTAACTAAAAATCAACCAATTGGGGATACCCTATGGTAACATGATTTAACATAGCTATGGAGAATGGTCCACTTAAAGATGATCACTGATCACCTCCAATTTCCATTTCGGATCCCCTGGGCTTTCCACATCCGCCAGGGGACTGGTGCTGTTTCAACAGCACCTCCTGAAGCTTCGTGAGCTCCTGTGTTGAAAAACAAAAACACTGGGAATTCTCTGGGATTTAGCAGAAACATAGCAGAAACCAACGAAACAAAAAAAACTTTTTCTTTTTTGGGGGGGGCGTACAAAGTTTACGGTCGCCGCAAAGTGGAACTTCACCAGCAAAAGTCGGTCTGTTTTCACAGGGAAACCAACAAGGCCAATTTTTTCGGTGAAAGAGCGATGGCTCCGCGGTGACATTGAAGCAGCCAAAAGCATTGCAAGTAAAAATTGAATCTACAAAGAGGACTTAAAGAGACAGCAAAATCAGCAGTGTGTCAAAACCTTGTACCCCTGGTAAACATCAAAATAGCTGGGATTTATGGATGGTCATTCCCCTAAAAATGCTATTAATAGGTATTGATCCATACCCAAATCAGCAAAGAGTTGTGAATCTACGTCAGACGGGTCAAATCCTCCAAGCTGCAGAAGCCAGCAATCCGGGTGGCTCCACCCGAGGGCTCGGAGTATTACATAACGAATCTATACCAGCTTGCTAATTAATATTGAATATATTATATTATATTATATATATATACACATCATATGTATACAATACACATACATATATGTGCATCATTATATACATACGTGTATATATATATATATACAAAGTGTATACAGTACATACGTGTATCATATCTACATGTAAGTATATAGCAACCTCCAAGAAAAAACTGAAAGATGCTCCAGGATGGTACAACTGTTCCAATCCCAGCCCCCTTTCATATCAAACACCCCCATTGTATGGTCGTTTCATCCCCTACATCCACCACTGGCAGGTTTTTCATATGAACGTGATGGGACCAACACTATGAGCCATTAGCCACGACTGATCATTATACATAAACCATCAACATCCATCAACCATGATTAGCCACTATTAACCTAATATCAACCATTACTAACCGAACCATTACTAACCACTACTAACCATTTTTTCCCTTGCCATGCATTCAGTCGCAGACAATTGCAACTCAAAAGAATGCTTCGGCGCTTGGCATGGTCTCATACTACTCCTTGTCTCGCTGCCCGTAGAATGTTATTGTTTTGAAAAGGGTCCCCATCATTCTGGGCAAATTATAAGAATTCACTAATCTGAATAGTTCGGCCATTTGGGGATGATTCCCCTTACTAACTATGATTTCCAGGGCTCGGGAGAACAGTGAGGTCGTTATTTGCTTTGCCCAGCCATCATAGTCTCTGTGGCTTCTCCGTGGATGATTTCGTTGGACCAAGTTGGACCAATGGGAAATCCAGGATCCTAAAACGGAGGTACTGTACCATATGTTTGGCCATATTTTGTGGGGATATATATGGTTGGTACCTCCAATCTAGGATCCTGAAATGGCCATTGAATTGATGGCTTCAGCACTATCTGGTATGAGACTTGTCTGCGGGGGTCAGAATTTGGCGCACGTAAAATGGTTAAAATGTGTCCAGCCAACCTTGCTCGCCTCTCATCTAATTCTCGTGAAAAAGGTTTTGCTTTCTTGATGGGCTGATTAGGGAATGCAGCTTGAGAGGTGAGCTCATAGACCCTCGAATTTGTATTGCGCCTATCTATATACGTCGTTGAAAAAAAAAAAAGGAATTCTGCGCAATCCCCTCAGGTGGAAGGCATCCAGCTTTTTGCGCAGCGACTGGGTCAAATGTATAGTTTCAAGGCTATAGCATGCTATAGCAATTTACTCCTAATCACTGCATCATATATAAGGAGCTGCCATTTCTTATTTGTGGTTAGATCCTTCCAAAACAGGGATAACCTATTCCATGTGCGCTTTGTATCTTGAATGCGTTGTGGAACTTCTCTTCCGAGGTCTATGGTTTTACCCATCTTGAAAAATATTAGTCAATGGGAAGGATTATCCCATATATTATGGAAACGAAAAAATGTTTGAAACCACCAACCAGGTATGGTTGAGGTTCTTTCCTACCATTACTAACCACCATTATCTGCGTGCTTTGTTTTTAAACAACCGTTTCTCCCCAACCGGCCACCGGTCCTGACGCAAGATGTTCTCATACTCCGATGGTCGCATCTCGGGGGCCGGCATGGCGCCAACGCGGAATGCCGGAAAAAGAGAGCGCCAAAGGCCAGGGGTTCCCAGGTCTTTGGGAATAGAACAGCTGTAGATAGATGTAGCTTGTAATAGTTGAAGTCAGAAATATGGATCCCTGTTGACTGCAAATTCTTGTTGACGTCGTCACAGTGATTGCTATTAGGATGTCTTGTTTTTGGATATTTCTGGGGCACAGCTAGTTCTCCAAGCAGCGTAGAAGCGATGAGCCAAGAGGCAACTGGCAAGCAGAGAAATGGCAGGAACATCTGAGGTCCTCAAGGCCTTGAAATCACCGGGAGATCGAACAGGAAAAAATGACCACATCAGATTTAAACTAGCAGATTCATTCAAGCAGATTTCCAAGGTTAGATCAATTCCAATCAGATGTCCAATTTCTATTAGATCATGATTCATCTATCTTCAACTATGGAATAGAAATTGAATAGAAATCTGAGTTAAACAAACACCACAGCACAAACGTATCATCCTGCGTGCAAAAAGTCCTGCTTGATGTGGCTGGTGTCTGCACTCACCCATGCAAGTTGTGAATTGTGAAGGTCAGTGTATAACTGGAGAGTAGGTATATACGCACATATAGACAAGTAAATATATACTTGTATTCTAGACAGAGAGAGAGAGAGAGATGTATGTGCATATATGGAATGTAGTCATAGGTTCACACTAAGTCCCTATATCTGACTGCGCTTTTTTCCTTGCGTTCAGTTCAGCCCCGAAATATTACGAAGTTCATATGGATCAGTCGTAGCAAGTAGGGGTTTTTTTCAGACTGATGAACGTTCGAAACCACCAAGCCTGCAGTGATCTGGATGATCTACAATCCCAAACCTGATTGACGCAGTACAATTGATGAGTTCCCCTTTCCAATGAACCATGAGTCGCTTGGTCGCTTGAGGTCCCAAGCCAGCCAAAGTGCCAGTTTTGGTAGCAACATCCCACCCTGGATCAACACAGCCTAGGAATCAACCACTCTCTGATGTTTTGAGGCTAATCCCATCTCTATGAGTGACATCCCCATCGTTCTTTTCTTTGCGCTCATCACCAAGAAGTCTTGAAGATCTTGAAGCTTCGCCACCCTTTCTGAATCGCGGCCGCATTCAAACGTCCTGCCCGATACATCGCTAGTCACTAGCATCATCCGCTCAGCCTCATTGGCGCCATGACCAGACTCCCAAATGCTGTTCCATTTTTGATGGCTGGGGCGGCTGGGGTGCTTTTACCAATGATGAGCCATTCTAGGGTACGATCATCATTTTCAGATGCTACAACCATTGATTCCTAAAATATCTAAAATGGTGAATGATGGCTGGCCAAAATAACACCGAGCCTGCGAGTTTGATATGAGGCGGATGTTTCTTCGAAATGGATCGCTCAGCTTGCATCACCAATGCAACCATGATAATTGAGACGTTGCTCTGAAAATCACCGCTATTACTCTGCAAACAGGCCATTTGCTATCGCTATAGTTGGATTACCGCGATAGCACTCTCGGTTTCCGTTGCGTTCAAGGTCACATGATCACATGAACCACTAGGCCACTAGGTTTTTCCACCGGATGACCTTCATCTTTGGCCCACGCAACCCGAATGGCTACAGTATGCGGCAAAATGATCTGAATGTGATTATGGAGCATTATGGATAGTTTCAGATCCTCATCTTATGACCAATCTGATATACATACATACATATATATTATACATATATTATAGTTGTATATATATATATATATGTAAAGTGGGACCAGTTTAACAGACACCCCAATGACACCCCAATGACACCCCAATGACACCCCAAGAGCCAGGCCTTGGCGTCGAAGTTCAAACCCCACCTGAGTCAGATGGGGGTACTTCATCAACAGACATTCAACTATACATTGGAAAAGACACGTAGAGTCTACGACGTGTGTTTGTACGATGTGTTTGTTTGACGCGTTTTTCCAAGAAAACATGAATGTACATCATACAACCATCTATCCTCATCCATACATATATACTATTATATAATTATATATATACATATATATATATATATGCGTGGTTCTGGTATATAGAATCACCACGTTGTTCGTCATGCAGGGATGAAGCAAAATGATGAAAGCCCCGCTACTGATGCCCACGCAATGCTGATGGGTTTACCCCTGGGTTGGATGGTTGGAATGCCCATGGTTTCGTGTCTTCAACCCATCTGTTTCATGGTCAAACCATGGTATCTAGGGTTCCTCGTCATCCATCCCATGATGGGAGCCTTTACAATTGGCTGTGAATCCCGATGAGTTTATGTGTGGATTAAGTACCATTGCCCAAGAACTGGGCGGTTTGCCTAACTTTTGACCATGGAACGTATTATTCCGTGTATATATATATATAGTTATATATTGAATGATAATAAAATTTATGTATCCCATGATATTCCATTACATCTCATGATATCCCACTGTATCCCATCATATCCCCAAAAACTGGTCGGCTCAAGGCTTTATACCATTAAATCCCATTGAATCCCACTAAATCCCAACGACATCCGATAAACCTGCCTCCTTTCACCTTCTCCAGTGCATCTTCAGGAGCCTCAAAGAGGAACATGTGGGGGTCACTGGTGGCTAAAAATCAAATACATGTTGAATTATGGTGAATTACTACCAGGCAACAACACCTTCTGAACTCAGTGATTAGAAACCAGACTCCACAAGTGGAGTGATGTGTTTACCGCTGACCCCCAGTCCTGACAGATGGCCGCTTTCTCTGCAGAGCTGGGAGTCTCCTGCCGATGGCCGAAATGGAAAGGGCTGTTGTGAAGTGAAACATCAGCAGAATGGGGCATCCTCAACATACAAACACGCCGGATAGAAGCAACTAGAGTGACATTGGATGTATCCTGCATCTCAAATATCATAATATATATATATACATATAATATTATATATATATATACATAATATCATGTATATACATATCGCACCTTGTGAGTATGTAGGATCAACCAATACAATACCGTGTTTTCCTGTGCATGTTGTTCAAATGGTGCTGGCACAGCATCTGCTGGAAACAATATCATCAGGTACCCTGGTGAGCCCCCCAAAAAAAAAACATGGGTCAAGAATAGTCAAGATATGTCAATGTGAAGATGGGGTACTGCCTACTGTTGTCAAAAGAAAACTGATTGGCTGAACGGTTGTTGTTGGTCAATGATTGGCCCTGTTAGCCATGAGCTGTCTGTCACCTTCCCCGTTGGATTTCTGTCTGATCCTTTGCATGTTGGATTGAAAAAAGTCCACCGCGACCAGCGACCAGCTCTCCTTGTAATTCACAAAGGCCTTGTAAATCAAGGCCTGAGGTGAGCACCGGCTGAAAAACGAGGCTTGATGGACATTTCTTGATCGAATCTGGGATGCGCCCAAGAAATCTCACACGCTTGAGACTTCCACACCTTGGGTGAAATGAAAAATCCTTAACATGACCAGACTATGTTCAGGGTCCCAGGGCCTAGAAAAACTTGAGCTGAGCCCAATTGAGGACCACAGAATCCTATCCCCCTATGTATATCTATGTATAATGAAAAATACACCTCAGAAACTCTACTTCAGTGTTGGATTTCCTTATGTGTGAGGCCCATACAGAGGTATTTATTATTTTGAGGCTGGATTAGGTGCCGAATCACGCAGAGTGTTGGGGCGAATGCAGAGGCCCGTGGACTGAATTGAGCGTCAAAAACCCGGTTGTGAACTGCTTCTACTGGTTTGTTTATGATTTTATGGCTATTGGATTGGCTGATGATTTTTTTCAACAGGTGAGTAGAATCCCAGCGTTCAACGGTGCTCTCGGAGATGCCATCATGATTTGGTCACCCAACCGGTGGATGGTTTCAACATGCTTAAAATGCCCCGAAGAATGAAATCATGTGGGATGATCATCACACTTGTTGGGATGGACATGAAATATCATATACCCTCTGGTAAACTGTTACATAGCTATTGGAAAATCACCATTTTTAATAGGGAAATCAACTATAAATGGTCATTTTCAATAGCTATGTTAGTTTACCAGAGGGTATATCATGAAATCGGTGACATCTTTCTCGCTGCTTGGGGGAAGAAACAGGCGAATCGCTGGGACTCCGGCAGAGAACACGAGCCCCAGACCCGTCATCTGAAGCTGGGTGATGGAGTGGCCATACCTCCGATCCAGGATGATCCTACTGTAACTGGTTAGCCGTGGCTTATCCCATGTGGCTTGTAACATGTTATAACTTTTAGCTTAAAAGCCCCCTTACTAAGCAGACACTAAGTGGGATTATACTCCAAGTACTACCCAATTTATATAGAACGTAAACGAAGTTCACAGATCCTACATCGCACCAAATGGCTGAATAGATTCAACTGCAAATGAGTCTTGACTTTGCCTTGCTCTCAGTGATCGGAGGGTATGCATCCACACTGAGAGCACTACCCTGCATATCAATGAATAAACCGTTGGTGGTTTCAACCCATCCCACAAATGTTCTGTATATAGTCATGTTGGATCATCATCTCAAACATGCTACGGAATTTAAAACATATGTGAAACCACCAATGACCAACCAGATAATTCGTAGTGGCCACCTGGGCTTTGAGTCTGAAGTCCGTCCATGCGCTAAGCATTCGACAAGGCATAGGAACCAATGATGGAACAGACCTGGCACAGTTGGGCGCAAATTGGGATGTGAAAAACCCCAAGCAGCTAGGCCAAAGCTCCAACTTTCCAAATCGCAACCATCGAAATCCCATCGAAATCCTTTCAAAATCCTATTTCTTTGATGGTTCCATCCCATTATACATACATATATTTTTTTGGCAAAGACTCACAGAAGCGAAAATCCGCTGCGGCCATGGCAATGTCTCGAGTGAATTCGGGCAGGGACCTTCCCACAGCCCAAAAAAAGTAAGAAAAGCAAAGCAAAAACACTCAACCTGCATAATCTGGGCCAAAAGATTGGCCATAGTGTGAGCAGACCATGGCATCGAATACCTCTTTGTTATGCAGGGAGACCT